ATGGATTAAAGGGGAAAGAGAGGTAAAATTAACTCAGGGGAAGGAGACGAGGTGAGCCGACCGCCAGAACAGCTAAATCAAGGGGGTCTTGTTGGAGAGGGCCGGTGCTTACAACACCACTCGCCACCCCTCACCTACGTCCTCACTCGGTGCTGGAGGCTTTACCAAGACTTGTTTCATCCATACGGGAGAGGCACAGAGAGGGATGTGCTACAGGGAGGGATGGGAGAGGCACAGAGAGGGATGTGCTACATGGAGGGATGGGAGAGGCACAGGATACGCGGACAGGTATTAGATAATTGGTGTTCCATGCCTAACCCTTTGAGGACGAGAGGGTAAAATTATTATCCTCAAAAGGTTAAGGTAATTTTATATACAATTTTATATATAATGTGAAGTACACTGCAGGAAGACTCGCTATAAATACTGAATATACTTAACTATTATAAAACCGGAAAAAATGAATATAATTTGTACTCAAGTCAGCATTGTGAAAAAATAAAAACGTTTTGTGGATCGTGATTGAAAAAAAAAACAAGAAAAAATATGACAGACAAAATTGTTTGAAAATGTTAGAGCACCACAAAATCGCCAGAGGATTTTTTTTGTTATATATGAACTCGTGAAATTTTTGTCAAAAGGTTAAAATAAAGATATGAGGTAAAATATATCAGAATAAAGATTACACTACCTTATAATTATATATTTATGGTCGCAGTCTTTCCCTTCAGCTCCTCATAAACCTTACCACAGAGAGGTCGTGTGTTGATGCGTTTATGCCTAATAAACTGTTTTTTAACCTCAGCATTTTCAGAAATTTTTCAAATTTCTCGTTTTAGTTTTATGCAATCAACAGAAACACAAGCGTCCGTTATACATACGCAAATATTATGTATATATGTATACAATATGTAAATAACCCTAAACAACCTTGTAATACACATAATTATACTGTACAGACAAAATTTACAATTGAATTTAAGAATCTGGATCAAAAGAGGACATTCTGTAGGTAACATCCACGTATCGACGACGCCTGACTTTTCTCGACCGTGTTTCTTGATATCAACATAAATCTGAAGGTCGAGACATCAGCCAGTGGGGGACAACCAGAGAGAGAGAGAGAGAGAGAGAGAGAGAGAGAGAGAGAGAGAGAGAGAGAGACTCACAGGGATGACAAGAGCTGACCAAATCTCCCAGTTGAGTTTCGCAGCTCCCGGGGCCACGCTGAGCCGCGCATCACCCCACGGCTTGACACGCACCAATAACCTTCACGAAATCTTTGGAAATGTGATTTTTATTCGGCATCTGTGTCTTCTTCTTTTCACATTTTTCTTTCCCTTCTCTGTCTTTCTTCATCATCAAGTTTCTTGGTATTTCTTTTCTCGTTCCTTCTTGTTTCTTATCATCATGTGTGACTCTGATAACATATTTTCTCATTCTCTTTCTGCTTCTCTTCCTCCTCATTATTTGCAATTCCTTCTATGACTTTTTTTTTTTATCCTGGATTATTTTCGTCTCTTGCATTTTTGTCGTTTTTTTCCGTGTTTCTTGTTCATCATTATCATCATGTTGTGACTTTCCATTATATCTATTCGGAATTTCTGTCTGTTTCTTTTCGTTCTTCCATATTTTCTTTTTGTCCTTTACGTTTCTTTAAGTTGGGTTATCCATTTTTTTTGTCTCTTCTTTCGTTCTCCCTCATTCATCCTTTCATTCTTCTGTATTGCTCATCTTCATTTGAATTTCTTTATCATTGTATTTCGACATCATGAGAGAGTTATGACTCAGACACAGCCTTGAGTACCACTGAGGCTATTTCTTCGTAGTCTCTCTCTCTCTCTCTCTCTGGCATCCCTTCATCAGCCTTCTCCCAAAGATGATACTATAGACAGGTATGATAAAGCAATTGTTTTGTTTTGTTTTAATTAATTCTTTCATTTTCTCTTTTTGCTTTGTGCTGTCTTTCTCTCCATCAGCCAGGGCTTAACTTTCTAATTATACTTTCTCTCTCTGACTCAATAGATCAAGGAAAGTTAAAGTAGAGTGAGTTTTATGTGTGTGTGTGTTTTGTAATAAATTCTTCCTCTCTCTCTCTCTCTCTCTCTCTCTCATCACACACGTCACTTTCCCAGCTTTACTTTCTCTCACAGGGAAATAATAACAGAACAAGAAGAGTTACGCCAGAGTGAAGTGTACCCAGGATTTTTTTTCCTTTTTTTTCGGTTTTTTGTCAGAAATATGACCTCAGTTCTCAGTCGGATATCGAAATTCACGAACCATCAGAAATAACTTTTTTTTTTGCACACACGACAGAAAGAAAGAGAAAAAAAAGCAAATTTGGTTCTTTTTTTTGTGCATTTGGTCTTGATAGATTTACTGAGACGGAGCTCCAGTTTTCTCTAATACATACATACATACATACATACATACATACATACATACATACATAGAGGATGACCAATTCTATATTGATCTCTCTCTCTCTCTCTCTCTCTCTCATGTAGACACAGAAACAAACAAATATGCAAACACTCATACACACGCACACATATACACACATACACACAAATATAAACATTCAGACACTTTCACACACACAGAAACACATACACACAGACACAGACAGACACACACACACAAGCGGAGTAGATCGTAAAAACTTTATTAAGAAATAATTGCAGAAAGATTTTGAGAATATCTGAATTGGAATAACATATTAAAACTTTTCTGCCTTTTTCTGCTTGGGAAGGAAGGGTGAAGGAAGGGGGAGGAGGTGTATGGGGGAAGGAGGAAGGAAGGGGAGGAGGAGAGTAGGGCATGGGGGGAGGGAGGAAGGAAGGAGGAGGAGGAGAGGAGGCATGGAGGGAGGGGAGGAAGGAACAGGAGGAGGAGACATGAAAAGGGAGAGAGGGGATAGGAAGAGGAAGGAGTAAGGAAGGGAAGAAAGAGAGAGGAGGGGGAGATGAAGGATGAAAGAAGAGGGAGAGGGTAGAAATGGAAGAAAGAAAGAAAAGTGAGAGAACGGGGAAGGACAGGGAAGAGGTGTAAGTGGAGAGGAAGGAAGAATGAAGGAAGAGGAAGGAAAGTTTAAAGAAGAGGGATGAAGAATGGAGGAAGAGGGAGATAGTGAAGAAAGAATGAAGGAAGAGTGAGATAGGAAAGCGTGGTTGAGAGAGAGAGAGAGAGAGAGAGAGAGAGAGAGAGAGAGAGAGAGAGAGAGAGAGAGAGAGAGAGAGAGAGAGAGAACGGTTGAAACATAAAGGAAGAGAAAGAAAGAAAGAGAGGTTGAAAGAGAGAAGGAGTAGGTGTAAAGAGAAGCAGATGAGAACGGGGAATAAGGAACACACAAAAAAAGGAGAGGAAGAGAAGGGATTAAGTGGCGGAAACGGTCAAAGGAGGAAGGAAGGTGTGAGTGTGCGAGAGAAGGGAGAGAGAGAGAGAGAGAGAGAGAGAGAGAGAGAGAGAGAGAGAGAGAGAGAGAGAGAGAGAGAGAATGGACAGTAACATGTTAATTAAATGAAATCTGATAAAACTTTTCACTACTCAAAAAAATCATAAAAAACAAATAAAAAATAAAAATAAAAAAAAATTATCCCAAAATTCCCCCAAACTTTTATCCCTTCTCCCGCAAAAATCCCTAAAAAAAAAATCCCGTAAATATATATTTTTTTTAAACTGAACGAAAACTAAAGATAAATGAACATAACACTTTGTTTCGTGTGTCTCTTGTAACTGTTCCTTGTCCCTGAGTGTTTCATTAATCTTCGTACACTTGTCTTTACTTGTCATTCTTCCCTTATTTATTTTCCCCCCTTTCTTCTTTGAGGTTTATGACTCCTTTGTTTCCACACTGCACAACAGAAGGGGAGGAATAATGATAGTGGATGGATAAATAGATAGATTAATTGGTAGATATATCGATAAATGTATGTATGTATGTATGTATGTATGTATGTATGTATGTATGTATATATGTATGGATTGTGTATGTAAGTATGTATGTTTCCTTGTACGTTGTATCTCTCTCTCTCTCTCTCTCTCTCTCTCTCTCTCTCTCTCTCTCTCTGTGTGTTACCCTTCTTCCTCATTTCACCACTCTTTTTTCTTTTCTCTCTCTCTTATTTCTCTATCTCCCTCACTTTCTTCCGCCCTTATCACTATCTAGGCCATTCTTACCCCTATCTTTCCTTCTCTTTCATCCAATTTCTCTCTCTCTCACTGTTACAAATGAGAGCGTTAATGTGAAATACCGCCCATAATGATCATTTACTTCCTGGAGGAAATGAAAGGAACTTGATGGAGTACTAATGACCTAAAATATTCCCCTTAAATAATAATAATAATAATAATAATAATAATAATAATAATAATAATAATAATAATAATAATAATAATAATAATAATAATAATAATAATAATAATAATAATAATAATAATAATAATAATAATAAAAATAATAACGACAATAACAACAATAACAACAACGACAATAACAACAATAACAACAACGACAATAACAACAACAGCAACAATAATAACAACAACAACAACATCATACCTACCCTACGCCGTAACACACAATTCGTCTTGTTAACTAAAAACTCAAATGACTGAATAACTACCCACCCCCCCCCGAGACACACTCTCTTAATGATGGTGCAAGAATAACCTTAGCTGGATTAACATGTTACCTGAGGGGGTGGTAGTGGCACAATACCTGTTCAGTGATGTAATAATTAAGGCGATCATACCTGGCTACCGGGCACTGCAGCAAGTAGATAGATAGATAGATAGATAGATAGATGCCTTGTTTATGCATAGATGATCCCAAATAATAATAATTGTAATGGTGAAAGAAATTATGATTCACTGTTAATGGAATGCATATATTGTCATCATTGGACACTATACAGGAACACCTACCTACCTACCTACCTAGTAACTAAAGAGAAACACCAAATACGACAAAAAAACAAACAAACAAAACAAACACTTACCATCTCGTCGCCCAGGAAGTATGTGTAGCATTTGATGGTGGCAGTACCTCCTAACTGAGCCACCACCTCTGTGTTGTTTTGTTCCTCTGGGGTGATGTACTCAGTTGTCGCTTCTCTGGGACCTACTACCAGTTCCCTCTTCTGGTAGGTGTTCTGTGATATTACCCCATCTTCCTTTTCTTCCTCCTCCTCGCTCCATCCAGATACACCTTAAAAAAAAGAAGAAAAAAAGACACACTAAGGTAAATAATGATGAATGTTGATAAAGAGAGAGAGAGAGAGAGAGAGAGGATATCTACACAGTGTACGAGTAAATTGATGGAAAATGGTGTGTCATGTCCGTAGATTTCACCATGCAGTTTTTAACACTGAGCTAGTGAAATTTTTAACTTTCCCAAAAACCCTGTTCAATTATTTTTATCTTTGGGGATAGATTTAGTCAGCCCTGATGCCTGAATTTCCCGATTCGACGTATGGAAGTTTTTTTTTTTTTTTTTCCTTTTTTTTTCATATATTTCAAGGATGACTTAATTGCAATCCTATGACCTTCAATTCCTTCTTTATTCCCTAATCACTGTGGACTTCCTGCCAGAGTTACATCCTCAAAAGGGTTCAGCCACCATATCTGACCAACATATACCTACCTGTCATTACCTTATTGTTCTACCAAGTTAAAAACAAAAACAAACGTCATCTGTCTCATTATTATCATCAGTAATACCTCTCGAGTCCACCAAGTTACACGACCCATATTTTCATCAAGCATTGGGACGTCAAAACTAAACACGGGTTACAAAATGGTTCTCCGTTTCTTAGGTGCTCTGGTCTCTAATATTACCTCGTTATATTATCATGGTTGGTGTTATAATGGTGTGGGGGAAGATAGTGGTAACTGTAGTTGATGGTCAAGAGAGGTGATGACAGAGGTGAGTATAGCGGTATTGTGGACATTATGTTCCTGTGCTGTGTTTTTAATTAACTATAAGATCTTGAAGTGAATACAGAGTTATACAACAGTTTAACTCATTTTCTGATTTTATTCATAGCTACGGATCTAAAGAGTCCGTTAGATGTGAAACCTCCATCTAACGAACTATATACAAATGAAAGTCCGCTATATAGAAGTTTCACTGTATAACAAAACAGAACCCTAAAATAGTATATATATATATATATTATTATATTTCACTTCCAAAGAAATCAAATTCAAAATGCAAATGAAAATCGAACGAGATTTTCATTTGGCTAATAAAAATGTAGTCAGTCGTACTCTGGTGACGTGATCGCCAACCAGGCAAAAAGAGGACTGGACTCACATAAAATGGTTTTAACCCTTTGAGTAGAAATAATTAAGCTCCTCGTGTACTCAAACGGTTAACCATCTGTACTCTAGGGGTTAACTATTTGCACTCAAGTGGTTAATTATTTGTACTCAAGCTGTTAACCATTTGTACTCAATAACCATCTGTACTCTAGGGGTTAACTATTTGCACTCAAGTGGTTAATTATTTGTACTCAAGCTGTTAACCATTTGTACTCAAGAGGTCAATCATTTGTACTCAAGTGGTTAACCAATTGTTCTCATGGGGTTAGGCTCATCGTACTCAAGGGATCAGGTCCCCGTACTCAAGTTCTCGTACTCTAGGGGTCATAGCCATTAGCTAAAGAGATGTGACTGACAGGTAAAATGGACGATAATCTGGAGCTTAATTACCAATTGCCTTTATAATTAAAAGACACCGATAATGACAGCATATTGGGCTTTGTAAACACCAGGTGTAATCAACCAGGTGTAATCAACCAGGTGTAATTAACCATGTGTAATTAGCCTAATAGACAAGTATAATGAGTTGCACTATCAGTCTTATAAACAAAGGTGTAATAATCAAGCGTAATTAGCCAAATGAACAGGTATAATCGACTGTACTGTATTGCCAACCTTTTGCAGACAGGTGTGACCGATAGTAATACCGATATTCACAGAAGAATTATCGGTAGAGGAATTATCGGTAGCGAAAAATTAAGAGAAATTATCGGTAGCGTAAAAATAAGAAGAATTATCGGTAGCGGTGAATATAGTCGGCTAGAAATAGGTTGTAAATAAGACAGTGTCAGTGCCTCCTTAAGACAGTGCCAGTGCCACCATAAGACAGTGCCAGTGCCACCATAAAACAGTGCCAGTGCCACCATAAGACAGTGCCAGTGCCACCATAAGACAGTGCCAGTGCCACCATAAAACAGTGCCAGTGCCACCATAATACAGTGCCAGTGCCACCATAAGACAGTGCCAGTGCCACCATAAGACAGTGCCAGTGCCACCATAAAACAGTGCCAGTGCCACCATAATACAGTGCCAGTGCCACCATAAGACAGTGCCAGTGCCACCATAAGACAGTGCCAGTGGTGGGAGAAGAAAGGCGAATATTTATCTGTCTGTTTACGTACAGCTTCCCGAACTCATATTTTCCTGCACTTAACCTCAAACTTTTTTATCATTCAATAGATTCACAAACTTATTTCTTCATTCAAAATAACTTTTTCATCCAACCAAACTTCAATTTCCCTCTCAATATATTTCAAATACCTTTTTTTTTTGCCTTTCCACTAAACGAACCTCAAGAGTGTATTATTAACAACGGCGTGTTATTGTACGTGTTTCCTCTCAACTACCCCTTACGAGTATTCTTAACCACGACCGACATACAGCTTCTACATCATACTACGTCCATATCTCTACCCTGATCAAGTGTTCCATGTTGGAGAGCTTTCAGGAGTTTGGCCCCCGAGCCTCTTGTCAGTGAGAGAGAGAGAGAGAAACATGAAATTGTACCCCGTGTGTGTGTGTGTGTGCATAAGTTTCTCCTATATAATCATTACGAGTGTCATCTAGTGTACAGTATCACCACACACACACACACACACACACAAGTACAGCCAGTCAGAACTCCCTCCCTCTCCTTATCATCAGAGTGTGTAAATTTGCAAAGGTTAAATACAAAGACTCTTCACCACTTTCTCTTTCTCTCCACTTCAAGAGCTCTATAATGGCATGTACTCCCCTCCCCTAACATCCACTCCACTCCACTCCACTCCACTCCCCTCCCCTCTCATCCCCTGCGTCAACATTGTCTCCTGGGAGTGACTGACAGCAACTCATCACTCAAGGACTCAAGTATTATTAAGTTTCAGTAATCTTTCAGCAGTTCTTAAAAGGGATTATTTTTCCCCTGTATCAATATTCATTCTCCTTGTTTTAGTAGCGAAATGTCAATAGCGTAGTGTAGTGTAGTGTAGTGTAGTGTAGTGTAGTGTAGTGTAGTGTTAATAGTGTACCTAATAACGTACTGCATTGTGTACTAATATAGCTAAAAAGTAATGAATGCTTTAATATTTCCTTCTTTGCTGCAGATAGTGATGGGGCTCTCTCTAAAATGTTTGAGGACAGGAAGATCAAAGCAAGAGTTGTATGAGGCATGTTTTTATACAGTGTGTAGGGAGATGGCAAGGTAGTGGTGGGAAGGTGAGTATAACCTGCCATGGAAATATGAAGAGACCATAAAACAAATTTAGAACCATTGGCTCTTCAAGTTATAAAACATATGAGTGTTTTGACTGTGATTTTAACCTTCAACTGTATTAATACCACGACTGGACGAATTGTAAAGAGATCCAGAGGATAAGAATAGTCCAAAAGACCCTCTGAAGGTAATTGAATGATAAGACCCTGACACTAAATGACATGACAAGACCTTTGAAGTATTTGGGGAAACAAGAAAAGACAAAAAAAAATATATAAATCTGAATTATTTCGACTGGACAATAGAGAGACAGAGAACAAAAATTAAAGGAAGTTAAAAAAAAATTGCACTAAAAGTCATATTAAATATCCAGAACAACACAAAATGATCCTTCGAAGTTATTAAAGCTAGAATTAAAGTTATGATTGAGGAGAGAGAGAGAGAGAGAGAGAGAGAGAGTGTGTGTGTGTGTGTGTGTGTGTGGTACTGTAGTAGGAAGGAGCTCTGTAACGGAACGGTCCCCACTAAACCTAGCCGTATAAAGGAGATTAACTTGAGTTTGGCAAGACAAGAGGGTAGTTGTTTGTTGATAATAGTTTTCGTAACTTTACAAATGGCTAAGGTAAGACATATGGGGGGGGGAAGGGGAGGGGAGGAGAGGCTACAGTTGCTGGAGTATGTCGTGTGTGTGTGTGTGTGTGTGTGTGTGTGTGTGTGTGTGTGTTAGTGGAGGAGGTAAACATAGGGCCTTGAATCCACTCCTAAATAGTTTCCTCTAATTAAGTTCCAAAGTTTTCTCCTCAGAGCGTAGTTACTAAATCCCAAGTATGGTAATTTTCATATCTTTACATACTCTATGTTTACGTTTCCTCTAGATGAGAAATATTAAAAAAAAATATATATATATATTTATTCTAAAACTCGTCTTCAAGTTACGTTAAAATGAAACCTATTCTATTTTTCCTATAAACACAAGTAAACATCACGAGTAGACACCTGTGCTTATTTTACCATAAGATTAACCACCATAAATCCTTAACGTAGCCTAACCTAACCTAACCTAACCTAACCTAACCTAACCTAACCTAACCTAACCTAACCTAACCTAACCTAACCTAACCTAACCTAACCTAACCTAACCTAACCTAACCTAACTAACCTAGCCTAACCTAACCTAACCTAACCTAACCTAACCTAACCTATAACCTAACCTACACCTAACCTAACCTAACCTAACCTAACCTAACCACCATAAATCCTTAACGTAGCCTAACCTAACCTAACCTAACCTAACCTAACCTAACCTAACCTAACCTAACCTAACCTAACCTAACCTAACCTAACCTAACCTAACCTACCCCCAACCTAACCTAACCCCCTCTCCCAGGTAACGCGATGGTGCTTAATTTGAAGCTGAAGGAATTAAATTTGCAAGTGAACCGAATATACCGTTGATGGGTGTTGCTGGGCAGCATGTAGTGGCAGGGAAATCTGTGGGTCTTGTTGTGGAAAGGGAACACCACAACAGAACACATCAGGTACAGCAGGGAGTGGTTGGTGACGGGGGGAGGCTGAGGTAGGTGTGTGTGTGTGTGTGTGTGTCAATGTGTGTGTGTGTGTGTGTGTGTGTGTGTGTGTGTGTGTGTGTGTGTGTGTGTGTGTGGCGTTTAGCATCATCTCTTCTTAAAACTAAAAACAAAAAAATTAAAAATGAGGGAGACACGTACATACATCTTTGCCACAAGAACGATCAGTACTTCATAACAACTGCCACCCACCCTTTCACCACGCCCACCCACCCACCCCACCCCCCACTTGCCCTTCACTCACATACCAAAATACTAGTGGTTGTGATCTAAGAGTTTTTATTTTTCCGGAGCTGAGTATAAGAGAATTACACATCAAGTTATGATAAACTCTTAAGGGTAAGTTCCAACATCATCTCTTGCGTCTTTAAGTGAGGCCATGTAGATATTTTCTCAACTCTTCGGTTAGGCTATAGTCTTGGAGCATTTTCGCCGCCATCTTTGTTCTACAAGGGGACACAAGAGGAGGCGTAGTAAGCTTAGAGTCTCAGCCTATTTCCACTGCCATAGAAAAGGTAAACCATATCTATGTCGCAACTTTGAGTAA